ACTCGCTAGTCTCCCCCCTTTCCTGCCCTGCCCTGCCAGGCCTGTGTTGGAATTAAAGGTCTGGTTGGGAATTTTTGGGGGTGGAGTTCCCCTTAAAATTCCTACCAGACCTAAAGGGCCTAGTATGACTTTTGGGGGGAACCCCATGCACTTTTTTCTTTTAATTCTAGGGGGTCCCTCCTAACATTCCTACCAGACCTAAAGGGTCTGGTATGGATCGGGAGGAGGACCGCATGCCGGTTTTTTGTTTTATATTTGCGAAGAACAGTCTGCTTCGGCAGACCGTTTTCCCTGCTTCGGCTGTGACTTCGGCTCAGCTGAACCGAAGCATATGCGTTAGGCTCGGCTGAACTGTTCATCTGCTGTACGGGCTATTGTGAATGGCCTGTACAGCAGCTCTTCGGTTCGGCTGAACCAAAAGGCTCCGGCAGCCGAAGTGAGCCGAAGGATTAGCCGAAACTACGGAATGTTATACACATGCGTTTCTTCTTTGATTCGCACTTTTTACACATTGTATCACATTATTTCACGGTCAGTATCTACTATATCTGACACTTTTGCAGTTTCATTCCCACAGCGCGGCTTTTATTATTAATTTTGGACATCACAGATATTTACTGAGTGATTTCTGTTTACCGGGTGATTTCTGTTTTCCACTGTTGCACGGTGCCATCCGTGATTGTCACTGCGAGCACCACTACAAGTACTTGGGTCGGAAGCTGATAGTAAAAAACCTTTGAGCTGACTGGCTACGCATTTCGAAGCTTGTCGCTTCTTTTATCAAGCCGGGTATGAAGGTAGCCATCGGACGATTGGTCCGATTAAATAGACATCAAAGATATTTACTGAGTGCTGGTGATTTCTGCTCTCCATCCTATTAACCAACTTTGCTGAGCGGGAAGCTACCACATTTAGTAGCAGTTGCAATAGCATCACTAAATTACCACCTCCTACTGCAGTCAGCGTTCAAGTCAATCTCTGCATTGGCCCAAACTCTAATCTCATCCCTGAAGTACAGGGATGAGACCTAATGAGAGTCTATTGGCCTATTTAATTTTGCAAAATGGCACCCATTAAGGTTGCCTCGGCCCCCATAGTGTTTATCTTCAACCAGAGTCCTCTGCTATGCCGCATTAAACAGAATCAGAAAATTTTTGGCTACCTTCATACCTGGCTTGATAATGAAGCGGCAAGCTTCGAAACGCGTAGCCAGCCAGCTCAAAGGTTTTTTTACTATCAGCTCTCTCCCCCCGGCTGCCCCTTCGCGCAGCCAGCCTTTCTATGCACACCATGCTCTGCCTCATCAGACGACCAGCAGCAGTTCCCACTGCATGACTGATCCGCTCCAGACGCGAGCTCCCTACAGACATAGCCCCACTGTGCTACATTGCGGAAGCCCGCACCTCTACCACCTCTCCACCCCACAGGACGACCAGACGGCATGTCCTAAACCAGGGGCGCCCACTATTTTTCATCTGGAGATCTACTTTTCAAATGACGAGCTCATTGAGATCTACCAACGAAAAAACACCTGCATTCAGGGGCGGGAGGGGGCGTGGGCTGCGCAGGCAGGCCCCTCGCCCACAGTGCGATCGCCTGCATTAGTGCCTGTGTTCCAGTCCAGTGCGATCTGCAAAAATGCTGCAAGCACTATTTTTGCAGATCGCACTGGACCAGAATGCAGGCACTAATGTGTCGGGTTCCGAGTGCGGGCGATCGCACTGTGGGCGATGCCATTGACTTCAATACAGCTCCACACCCCCTCCCGCACCGGAACGCAGGGAGTCGGCCTGCTTACATTCCAGTGCATTCCAGTGCATTCCAGTACATTACAGGTCCTGGCGTCCTGTCCTCCCGTGGTGCTCGTGTGGCCGACGTTGCACATGGGGTGTCCTGCACCTTTCCATCTGCAGCGTCTGACACATTCAGCCGGCAGCCGCA